AAAGGTATCAGTCGTCATGGCATCGTGGCGATTTGGTGGCATTATCGGTAGTCGTGTGAAAGCCATTGCTGGACCTGGAAGAGACGTGCAGGAGCCGGGGACCCGGCACACCCACCTCGATTGTTTTTCCCCTTAACATAATATGAAGCTATACTCAACTCGGCCTCAGACACGACACGTTATTAACAACATTTAAGACTTTTTCTTTATTAAACCTGTTGGAGCGGATTTTTGTGACTCGAGGTCTGAAAATTAGACTGAAGATATCTACACGGTGTCCCACAAAGACCCGACAAACGGTGCTAGTAAATATTTTTAAGATATTTTTTTTAATTAATTTATACTTATTACTCATTTACGCTATAAACCCAACGGTTTTTCTTACTCCTAACTGTTTTGCCTTTTTTAATTGTTTTTTTGGTTAGGTCGAAATATCATCTTGTAACTATTTATTTCTACAACTACGGGGATCTTAAAATTAACTTCTCTAAAACTTGAAATTATTTTATACAAAAGACGATACTTACGATTATAGTAAGATTAATTATTTACAATACAAAGCCGGACTCATAAATAAATAAGATGACGGATTTGATAATGGAAATGGCTGAACATTTTTTTTAAATTTAAGAAAATTTTGACTGATCGACAACTAGTTTTGGATAATTACTTTTTAAGTTATTTCTGTTTAAAGTGTAGGATTGGCAAGTTATAGCGCAAATGAGTATAAATTAATTAAAAAAAAAAATTTTAATAATAGAACAAAAGTTATTTCATTTGTCAGGTCTTTGTGGGACACCATGTACAGTGGGACTGCAACATGTAAAAATGTTCTCAAAAATCAGTAGTCTAACTTTTCTTTTAAGGAAAACCAAAAAAAACCTTTGCCAAATCATTGGCACATAACTTCTTCGAAATAAAAAATTATTTACAACATAAAATACCTGTGACTCACAATGCCCCGACCTGACTGAGCTGGTTTTTTTCTTTATGATTAACAATGCATAATTAAAGTTTATTAGTATAATTTAATGAAAAAAAAAACCAAATGGCTAGGGCAGCGAAGTAGAAGGAAGCAACAGGTTTTTAGGTTGTGTGACGATAACATGTCGTTTACGATGAAAAAGAAAATTACCGAGGCCAACAATGACGTAGAAAAGTAAGCGTTTGGCTATTGAATCGACGAAAATAAAGAAAATAGAAGAACTGAAACTAGGATGAAATTTAATGCATTTCAACTTCCCACGTACACACCGACTTGGATAGGTTGAATACTGTACATTCGTAATAATGTTACAATTCGTTTTGTAGTCCACTCGCCGTTAAATTAGGTATTGTTTTTTTTTTTAATTACTGATTAATTGACAAATTATAAGAAAAAAAAGCTGTAAGGATTTTATAATTCAAAAAATTAGAATCTGTATAGCAGCCTATACGTAGGGCCGTCTCTGTCCCCTCCTAGGGATGAAGTTCCCTGATGAATTTGCATTCACTTAATTTATGACAAAACGTTTTGAAATAAATTTATAATTAAATTTTTTTCGAGTTTTTAATTTGCCAGGAGCGCGACTGTTGCACTCAAAGACATCAACAAAAAATATTTGGGAAAAGGATTCGTTCTTTTTTCTGTTTTATGACTGGAGTTTATTAGGGTTATTTCTAAAGATTACGCCAATTAAATTAAACTAGTAATTCGACTATTTTTCAGAATGTTATAATATATCTATTGTATTTCAGTAAGTCAAAAACTATGTCAATTTTTAAGATGTTGTTAGTAAACATTTTCAACTTTTGGCCTTTTATAAAAAAGGTTCTATGGTTATTAAAAATAAATTCACGTCCAGACAAAATAACTAATAGTAAAATTAAAAAGTGAAATTCATTTTAACGTGAGTTAGGTATTTTAAACTTAATAATTACACACACACACACACACAAAATAAAAACGACTTCCGTGAGATACGAATTCCTGCGAATATTTTTAACCTACAATTCCGTTTGGTATACAATGGTTAATATTCTTTATGAAATTTAATTACTTATTTCATTTTTCCATTGTTAATACTTAATAAATAATGATATGTTACTACGTAAGAATCTAATTTGACAATTAACAGCAAACTGATAGTTTTTATTTTTAACTTCTAAATACGAAAATAAATAATAAGGCTTTATTTCGTCACGTGAGATACTATTTACTGTCTATTTATTTAAAAAAATATATGTATATTAACACCTTGTCTTATTAAACATTATCAAATATTTTAACAGCCATTAGTTGATAAATACCTTAAAAAATTATCCATTATTTATTATCCAATTAAAATTTGCAGAACTCTGTCATTAAGATAATCATAAATGTGCAAATAAATACATAACATAGCTTTCCCTAAAAATACATCCAGGAACAGGTTACATTATAAGACTTTAGGCACCGTATATGTGACATTGAAATACTTTAATGCGAGATTAAAGGGTGTAATTAAAGTGGATTTCCGAATCATTCCCAACTCGTCGCGTTTCAAGATGTACTCAAGGTTAGCCTTGGTAAAATTCGATTCATCGCAACGCTATTAAATATGAATTGTTTTTTATCTAGATACAACGTACTTATATAGCGCATTTCAAGTCGTGAGACCCTAATATAACATTATGTTTGCTGTATGTACTTTTTAAAAATTAAAAGTTTAAAAAAAACGAAATATTGTACATTGTGTTAAATTAAACACTGATGCTTTGCCTAATTTTCCGAATAGAGAATAATAGTATTCTCAATTCATATTAAGTTTGTTCATATGCCCAATTAGGGGAGCTTATGGGTATTAACATCCTTAAATAAGATCTCTCTAATAATTTTTGTGTTTATGTAATTAGACCTCACCTTATAAAAATGTTTAATATAAAAAAACCAAAAACTTTTTGCAGAGTTGATAATAGTAGGTATTTATTATTCAATATCATCAGTTCGTTTTCTGCTTTAAGAAAAATTTTAGCTTAGGGTTTCAATGAGGCAGGACGGACTTACATAATATTTGTCAATAATATGTATAGAAAAATATATGACAAATTTAATTAACACAAACAGTTACAGATACATTTTCAAAACAATATAGGCGTATAAAATACCTGTAAATTGTAATATTACAATATTTTGTAATATAAAATTAAAATGTTAATAAGCAAAAACAGTATACTCGTATGTTAAATTATTATAAAAAATCCTTGTCAAAAATAAAAAATGAACTTCATAATTAATATTTAAATACCTACCTGGAAAATGCAGAGCTTAAGCGGCCTCAATTTTTTTTATTGCAATAAGAATATGAGTTTTTTTATTAAATTTAATAAAATACAGTTTTTTTTTTAATTTGATACAAATAATTTACGTAATACTTAATTTAATGTGTACAGAAAAAAATGTACTTTTAATTTAAGTTTTTTCTTCTAAAACTATTTTTTTATAAGGAAATCGTTTTACATGGCGAAATTAATTATAACAAATATAATTGACGGAAATGCAAAATTGGAAACAAGTTTGTTCTTAACAAGTTTGTTGAGTTATTCTTATAGAAATGAGTAATGGCAATTTAGCAATACATTGTAGCATTTTAAATTGAAACACAATACACGTTTAATGAATGGGTTTTTTTATATTGTTTTAGAGGGGGAATGCTTTTTTTTAAAGATATTAAGTTCTCAAAAGACATTTAAGTTTTCACCTGTGACTCATAAGTTCAATATTTTACATACATGATATTGCAACGTGTACCCAACAACCTTATTACACGCTTCAATTAGCATTTCTAGCATTAACGTTATCTATGTTAATAATTATTATTACTATTCGGGGGTTATTTTTTTTATGTAATTTCTACATTAATATTTTCCTGTTTATCTTTGAGCGACTTTTACAGGTAATATAAATAATTATATTAAACCGCGTTTTCTGACCTGCTACAGGGTCGCCTAACTAGTCTGACCAGACGAGAAGCGACTGTGTAACATCAGGGCGAAGGTTATATAGATACATTATACATAATAATATTCTAATTAAACTCACTGATCAACAACAGATTTTTTGTCATAGAATTAAAATATTATTTGTTAACAAGTATTTTTATTTTAGCTACATCCTCTATTTCGAATAAATTGAGGCTATATTTTGCTGGGAAATAAAACATTCTCAAGTCTGACTCGTAATTGGCGAAATCGTTTTTAATAATAATTAGGTATTTTCAAATTACGTCCTTGTATTTTAAAAAGAAAAATTCAAATTAAAGTTATCGAAATACATAAAATAACAATACGTTTTTATTTCAAATAAAAGGTTGTTTGAAAAAGTCAAATAAACATATTTTTAACCAAATATTATTGGAAATTTTATAAATAATTATTTATTATTTGAAACAGTAAATAAAAATACACTTGAAGTTTAAATGCATTTCAAATAACTCATTATTTTGAAATAATTTTTTGTTGATAGTTATTTATATAAAAAAAAAAATACCTTGGTTTGGCAACGCTCTATTTTGGAGTGCTCAAAATCACATTAATTTAAACGGACTTTGTTTGTAAACAACTTTGAAACTACAGTTTTTTTTTTACTGTTTTCCAAGGACTGTGGTCTAGGTCGACTGCTAGTGTCAGACGTCGTTTCAAGATCAAACGATTCGAGAATTACAAATGATGCAACGTACGCAAATTCTCACAAAAATTAGTTCCGCGTTAGCTGTTTTTTAACGGTCAAATTGGTTTCCACTTTCCTTAGCCTTTTTTTTTATTACTATTATCATCTTCATCGTCACGGTGGTATTTGGACAAAATCGTTTTACCCGCACAAGACATGACGTCGAATCTGCAACCGATTCGTACACTCACCTGTATACTGTACTACATGATATGCACACTAGAAAAAATCCGGATTTTTATGAAAATAGAAAAAAAAATAATAAAATAGTTATTCAAGCCATTTAAGATGACCGAAGCAGCCACACAACTAGTTTTGTGCATAACGCATGTCAGAAGATATGCACTTTTTCAGATTAATTGAGCAGATTTGGCGAACAAGTACGTTAATTTAAAATTAAAGACAAAGACTTTAACTAAACTATTTTTACAAAAAGATTTTGGATAAGTTGGGTACTAAACATTGAGTTATAGGAAATTAAATTTCGAAATATATATACAGGTTTATAAGTTACACGAGACAAATAATTATATAGAACGACCAATAATTGATTATTATTACATGAATATACAATTAATTATTAGTATTATCACCACAATCATTAAAATAATTTTCAATAACTTTAGGAAAAAACTATGCTCAAAAGGGCTAAATAAAGAAAAAGCATCCATCCATTCTCAGAGAAAGGGTTGATGACCGAAAATGTTTTATATAGATAATATTACAAACAAATATGGAACTAATTTGACTATATTTCGACAATCTAGAGAATGCCTTTTTATAAAATAAAAATATAAGTCATGTTTTAGGGTTTGTTTCTCAATAAAAAAAATGTGTTATTTCGTTTTACTTAGTTCTGACCATAATATAACGTACAACTCAGTATACAATTTTTAGTACTTAAAAAAAATCGGTCCAGAAATAAAACACAAAAATTGAAAAGAAGAAGAAGTTAGAGGAATTTAAAAATACAAGTCTGAAAATTTCAGTCAATTTTTTTGTTAAAAAAAGTTTTAAAGTTACCTCACTTATTTTTTAGACTTGTAACCCAACCCTTCCCCCGACCCCTCTCAAGCAGTACTCATTAAAATAAATTACAATTGACTATAAATATGAGTGTCGGTAAGTGTGGCAACACTGCGATTATCGCGAAAAATATTCGCACCCAAAACGATTATCCGACGGTAATAAAAATTGATTGTTGTAACATATATAATACAATATACATTATATAAATGATAAAACTGGTGTAATAATATATTCTCTGTAATGAAATTTGTTTAGTCGAAACGCCTGGCAATGTGCAAGTCATATACTTTATGGTGTAATATTAATAATGTACGACGATCTTGGGTACCTACATATGATCAACAATTGCGTCTTAATCTACATTGTTATTTCCGTGGCCACGTTTCTACGAGTCGGTCTCGAATAATACACTCGGGTGTTATTACGCTATATTATTGCACCAAAACACTTGAGAGAAATTAGTATATTTTAAACCGGGTCTCCATGCCGATAATTGGCCGCTTATCGACGGTATTTTCATGCAAACCATATTAATATTAAAGTGGCAATATACTAATTGCTGTAATCGGCATTGTAACATAGCATCGGCCAACTACTGGGTACCTACGAAACATAATACACATATTCAATTTTACTGTACAATAATCACTTAGTAAACGGTTTTGGTGTTTTTCTCGCGAATTTCGGTCGGCGAAAAGTCGGAATTTTCAAAACTCGCTTACTACATACTTCTGATGACATTCCTACACGCCGAACACCGAAGACAATAATATATACATTTGGAAAAAAAAAAACATTTATATTAAGTGTTCAGGTATAGGTGATGAAAAAGCAATGATATTTCATTTCGATTTAAAAAAAAAATATTAGGTTCACCGGTTACGCAACGTCGAAGAATTACACGGTAAACATTTATAGCTGTTCCAAACAGATAAGATATGACAATATTGTACCGTGTCCCGTTAAAACAGTATAAAATAACGTGTTAAGTGTTTTGTTTATTTTTTTTTTCGCTAATGTTTTCGAATACTGACGCTGGAAAAAAAATAGTATATTTACACAATAATATGTTCTTATTGACAGTGCAAATTGTTAGAATGTTATCACTAATTGTTGTCATACTACAACAGTAATTATTCGACCCTTTTTTTATTATTAAAAAAATGTATTATTCTTGTTCTTTTTCTTTATCAGATTATACAGCAAACATTTTTTGGACAAAAATGTACTTACAATGTTAAATTAGACAGGTTAAATGTTAATATATGAGTTGAGAGCTAAATTCTGTACAAGATTAAACTAAACGGGACACGTTATCTAAGTCTTGATTAATCATAAATGTGTTTTACTGCTTACATAAGCCAAAGCATTAACGAGAAACTTTTAGCTTGAACATAGCGATGATGGTTTATTTTAATTGACTAGTTTTAAAAATTTAATTGAGCATAGTCAGAAATAAGGGAAAGGGTGGGCGCTGAAGGGAGCTTAGAATCCCAACATTTTTTAGCTGGAGCTAAAGCCCCCAAATAGGGGAAAACATATAGATTAATAACTGAAAAATACCAGTATATTGCTCAATATTTTGTTTTATTAAACATGTTATAAGTTGGACGGCATTTATCAGAAATGTATTTATTAAGTCCATAAAAATATAAAAAATGAGTCAAGAGCAGTTTTGAATAGGATGCTCCTATTATAGAATATATTTTAGTATGAAAAAAAAGGTAAAATTTAGTTTGTGAAAAAAAAAGATACTAAACTTATTTGAAGGCATTTATATCTACAGTAACGATTTACCTTGGACCACGATTTTTGTACCTCAGTTCGGGGTTCCTTTTTAATAAATGCTTTAACTTGCATTGACATATTTTTATTTAGTATTTTTTTGCTACGAGGAAAACAAAAGCACAGTAAAAAAGTTCTATATTTAATAAGTAAAATATTTAAAAACATGAAATTATCGAGTCCTTAGCTTTCGTTTATGAAAAAAACTTGGTATTGTAATGGAAACTTCATACTTTACACAAACGTATTAATTTAAATTAGAAATAGGAAATAATAAAACAAATTATGTAATATTTGGATTTGTAGTGGATTTTTAAAACTAAATAACACTAAAATTTTTTTTTGAATATTTGTCACTGCCTGCCAGGCTGAAGCTTTGACAATCAGAAATTGTAGTCAATTCTTATTTGTTTTTTTTTTCTTATCTCCAGCATTATAAGTTGAATTGGTTATCGGATCAAATGGGAAGTCAAATACATATAATAATATTTACGTTTGTGTTATGCTTTATCAAAAGTGACAAAAACCCGGACTTTTTTGAAAAATCCCAATTCACTCGGGTATTTAGAGGTTTTCCGTAATAAAATCCCAAAAGACCCGGAAACCCGATGGGTTTTATAAGGGCGGTTTAATCGGAAAACCCCTTTCAAAAACCCAACATTGTTTTTTTTAAATATTTTTCAATAATTTTAGTGACCTATAGTTTTTTTGATTTACGTTATGTATTTGTTGTAATTATTATCGTTTCCATGCAATATCACCAAAGAGATGTTATTTTTTAATTACCAAACGATAGAAAAACAGCCCTTTTCCCCGAGCACTTATTTTTTTATAATAATATGTTTAGTGGGATTCTACCGGGGAGAAAAAAACAGTCCGGAGTTTTTTAAAACATACTAGAGTGGACTTGATCCAGCCAAAAAAACACCCCGGGATTTTTTTGGCCGGCCAACCCTGTGCTTTATAGGTCAACCCACCCTCATATTGCCAGAGGATGTCCGCCAACGGCCGTTGGAGCATATTTTTTTTAGCAAATTATTTAGCGACGTTTCTCTGTTCACTTACTTGTTGCGTCGGCGGCCGTACACGGCGAACGCCCCGGCCACCAGGACGACGGCCAAAACGGCGCTGGACACGAACATGCCGACGGACACCATGGCGAACTCGATCAGGCGTTCGATCATGATCACTGCGAGGTGAGGGCCGGGCCCTTGCACGCGCACTCAAGACACGCAGACACGCGGCGGCACTTAAGCCGCACTGGCGGGCCACACACTCGACGCGGCGCCGAGATAACAGCGAACAATATCGAATTCGCTTGGGTGTATATACCTACTGTTAAAAAAAAAAAAGGTATAACGATAATTTATAAAACGTCGCCGGTTTAAATGAAAAAAAAAAAAAAACAATAATCTCCTTCGGCGTCGACGTCAAGGCGGGAGAGGTGAATAAAAATATCCGATTATATATTAATATAATATCGTCGACACGATTAAAATAACTATTGATAATAAAATCGTTGCCGCGCGAAAACGGTGGCGGGCGCGCACAGAAGCGGCGGCGGCGGCGGCAGAGCTTTAAAAACGCGGCACCGGCGGTCGAGCGACAAACACACACACACACACACCGACAGCAATAATAATAGGAATAATAATTATCACGACCGAATTTTAAGTACGGCGGTTCGCGCCGGTCGTTTTCGCGCTGACGGCTGTAGCATAACAATACGGGTACAATATTATGGTGTATGCATATAGGTATGTACCTCCTAACCGGCCGGGTGAACGAGTGCCTATATTTATACCAATAATAATAATAATATTACCGGCTTGTCGTTGGACACCGGTTGCCCTTTTTGCCCCCTACTGACCACCGTCGTCGCCGCCGCCGCCGCCGCCGCCGCCGCGCGGCCGTCATCGCGCCGCATCAATATTATCATATTAAAATAATAATATTATTAGCCATTACCTCTACCTCTACCAATTTATTGCAATGACCGGTGTGTGTAAAATACTACATTATCGTGTGCCGCGTGCGGTGATGAAAACTTACCGCAAACGTGTTCGGGACACCTTGAAAAAAAAAAATTTCCCCGCTTTAATCGTTTTTAGCGTTTATTGCCATTATTATCCGCATTATTCTTGGGATAATAATAACCGCGTGATTCATGTTATTATTATTATTATACAAACCGATCACCTCAACGTGCCGGAAGACGTCAGTCCTACAAGTACAATTAATCGTCCTTTTTTTTTTTTTTAATATTAATCGTCAAAATTAATTAGTTACGAATAAGTTAACCGATTTTCACTTGATAGGAAAAAGCGTATAGGCATGTCAGTGGTCTAGGATTTTAGGTAACTGAAAGAACCAAAATATTTTAGTCAACCTTCCACGTTTCCTTGCAAAACGATTTCAGTACCTAATAATTGTGCTGGCTTGACGGCTCTTTGCAAAAAATAAATCACTAAAATTACCTTTCTTGCTCTCACATCTATTTTTGAAGTTTACCAACTCTTCCATGGGGGTCAATTTTTTATTTTAGTTTTTTAAATCGTATACCCTACAAGAACCTTTCCAGAACGTCACTTGACATATTTTTTTAGTACCTGTTTATTATACTCTACAAGTTTGATGATGAATTATCAATAAAAAAATTGTCATTACTGTACTAAAAAATCTAAATTATTCAGTTTTTGTTCAAAACTAGGATTTTGCGAAAAATCGCCAGTACAAAAATTCCTTAATAAATAAAAATGGTTTCTTAAGGGGATCGGTATCCGGTATAAATGGAAAAATATAGACATTAGTTGACACAAACAAGTTAATTATACATTTGTTTTAAGTTTTTTTTTTTTTTTTAAATCACAAAATATTAATTACTAAAAGAATATTTATAATGTGATATAGGCAATGTTGTTTTTCGTGTAGTTAGACTATCTAATAAGTATATTTTTAGGGACCTATATACATTTATTAAAATTTTAAAGATATGTATCAGTAACCGGTACCGACGATTTAATATTAATAAATTGCTATGTGACAACCTTCAAGAACACTAAATAAATACATCAATTGTATGACTAATTTAATTATTTTATAATAAACCTTCAAATGAAAATAAATGTTATTTACTATTTCAGTATCTACCTAGTATGCTTAATGGCTATAATAAACATTGAAAATAGATTTTTTTTTATTGTGCGGTAGGAAGTTGTTAAAAGTATTCTAGTAATCTCTATTACTAGTCTTGTATTCAAATTTCGAATAATATATTGTGTTTAGTTAATAAAATAATAATATTATATGGATTAAAATAATCTCAACTCAAGTTGCTGTTACTCGGTTGAATTATAGAAGCAGGTTCCCATTGCGTATCAGAATTGTATTTCTATGAATTTCTCCATTTGTTTGGAAATGGTAAAGAAAAATAAGATCTGTTTAAAAAAAAATTACACTCGGTAAACAATAAAACAAAACATATTCATCATGATCACGATACACTGAGATAAAAATATTTTATTCGAATAATTATTTCTAAAGTTATAGCAACGTTCAAGAACTTTTACAAAAATATCACTTCTACCTTTTTTTTTTAAAAAGCATCTTTTATTCAGTATATATACAAACTGTACAACAAACGTTTTTCAAAACATTAAGAGGAAACCTCGTTTGAACAATTTTCGAAAAAAAATATCGGTTTTCCTGGAAATATTGTACAATAGGTATGCATGGTAGTCTTAGGTAACAGACAACAGTTAACACAATAAATATTGGTCATACCATGATTTTTTTTTAAACAAAATACAAATATAATTTTATTATGAATCGTACAACGACAATAATAAGGTATAATAATCCCCAGTTTCCTTGCGTTTTTGCAACAAGACGCAGTGGAATGTGGATTTATAAAATATCTACTTTGATTTGCAGCTTGCACAATATTCTCTTATCAGAATTAACCTAGAAAAAAAATTGTATCATTAGTGATTAGCGCTCTAAAAAAACGTTACGGCCAAGCGAGTAATGATAAAATTCAAAATAACCAACATTCGTTATCAGTAACTGAATAGAAAAAAAATTAGATTACACCCAATTGTCCCGCTATAATATTTATATTTTTTTGTTACGAATCGTCAAGTTCATAAATCATAATTTAGTTGCCCTCTGAACTGTTTTGAATAATATGACCGAAGTACTTACAACGAACGTCTAAGTGCGGTCTTTTTGTTGTTTCTAGTTTCCGACATAACCGTAAGTATGTGGGCGAAAAAAAAGAAAACGATCAAAGTGTTTTTTGTCCTAACAGACGATCGGGCAGACATAAAAAACATGTCTGAATCAATGCAGTTGGCGTTGCAGGTAAAGTTATTGAAGGCCATTCTCACCGCTTGAGCTTAAAACTTAAAGTATTGTTTGACAATACCAAAAAAAAAAAAATATAGGATAAACTCCGCTTGATCTTAAGCCAAATTGGTGCGGTTATAATAACCGATGTAAATGTTTCTCACTAATTTTGCAGGACTGTTACGATCACGAGCTGACGACGAGCGTCGTTGAAGAAGCCGAAGTTTGTAAAATGAACACATTTAAAAAGAGCCAAGTTTTTGTGTTTGACAACTTTGAAGGAGTTGCTTTTCATCATGTGCTGTCTGCGGCGAAACAAAACGAAGCTGTGTTAGTATTGCAAAGTTGTATTTTAAAATGTTTGCCTATTTCTTAACCTTTACGGTACAAAATTTACAGTTTTACTCTTAGCATCAAAGTTATATTAAAAGCAATAATAGTTTTTACTAAATTTACATTATTATTGCAAGTTTCAAAATTACGTATTTATTTATATTTTTTATTTTTAATGTGATGTGTTTTTTATGATAAAAACGATGGTGTAGGTAATTTTTTTTTGATATTGTAATTACTTTATTAATTATTATCAGAAAACTATAACTCGTATAAAAATATCTACTTTCCTTTACAAAATAGTCAAAAATTAATTTTTTGTTAACAACGAATAACATTTAAAGTGATATCAAATTAACTGACCTATTAGTAAGCTAGTAGTCAAATAACTGACACGAAAAATAGTAACTATTGGTAACTTAAATTTAAAACAAAAATTTCTTTTCAAATTGAAAATAAAATTTTCATGTTTTGACAAAGTAATCGATTTTTAGAAATTTTATCTTATGCTGATGTCATTGAACAATTATGAAAAAATTGCATCGAAATCAACGCCACCTTTCTTTTGTTATAATAAAACAGGCTCCTTTAGTTATAAAAAACGAAAATTGTAAAAACAGAGAGGAAAAGATGATAACAAAGAATTAAATTGACTAATGTTGTATTTTTCTTCTGCTTACATTGATTTCTGTTTAGCAGGATTGTTAGTCCTTTGTGTTTAAGAACATGTTTTGTTGAAGCCATTTCTATACCAGAGAATAAGTCTCCGGTATACACGTTGGCGATGCGAGATGTCGTACTGAGCGCTTCTAACATAAGCCCACAAGAAAAAGTAATAAAAATCTAAGTAAATTTTAGACATTAACCTAACCAATTTGAAATATTATTTTCCAGGAAAGAGTAAAAGAAAAATTTGAGTACATGGGTGGAGTCTTCACGCACAATCTCAGAGACGTAACGACTCATTTGATGGTTGGAAAAGTGGGATCGGCAAAATATACAGTACGTTAAGTGGCCACTATTGTTATTCTCTATCTGTGTTAAGTATGGAATTTTTGTATGCCTCAGAAAGCCGTGGAATTAGGTCTGTCGATAATGACGGAAAATTGGGTGGAAGCTGTTTGGGAAGAAAGTCTAGAACGCAATATAGTCGGCACCGAATCAATGTTTGACAAGTACAAATGCCCTCTTTTTTACAATCTTCAAGTTACGACGTCCGGTTTGGATGCAAACGACAGAGACAAAATTTCAGCGCTCGTCAATAAATATGGTTAGGCAAAAAAATAGTAATTAAGTACTTACGTTCAGATTTTTATGTCAAACCGTTTCCATTTGGCATTAGGTGGAAAATATAGTCCTCAGATGAAAAAAGGCGAAACAGACGTGTTAATCCTACTCAAGCCTACGGGCCAGAAATTCGTTTACGCTCAACAGTGGGGTTTAAAATGCGTCAACCCAAGTTGGATATACGACAGCACTGATAAGGGACATTTGGTCGAGCCCCAAGATTATATTGTCAAAAATACAATGTTGAGTTCGACACCGGCAATTTCTAATGTCCAACGTATGTATTTTCAATTACGAACCAAAATACATGCGACCAATGTCAACTGTTGTAATTAAATGTTAATTTAAATATTTTAATTTCAGCTTCGTTTTCCCAAAGCGACATCAGTGAAATAGTTGCCGAACCCAAGTCTACGATTGAGGAGACAATGAACGATCATAGCGTAACTAAACGTCAGGCAACAAATAATTGCAGGACCCAAGACGACTGTACTACGCCGAAGAAAAACAATGGACAATGTCAGTAGCTGTTTATGATATTATATTATATTATACTGTTTACATTCACTGTTTAAAAGGTGAAACTTCAACTACTTTTAATTTTTTTTAGTTTTAGCAAAGAACATCAACTATAAAGCCATTTTAAACAGTTTAAATTTGACTGACGTAAAAAAAGCCGGCACAATACTCGATGGTTGCAAGGTAGAGCCATAAACCTTTTTTTTTTAATAACTAATATAAGTAAATTTGTTGGCTGTTAGATTTATTTTAGTGGATTCAATTCGAGCGAGGAAGAGAAACTAAAAAGAATCGTGATATCGACCGGCGGAATCAGATATACCGAACTAAGCGAATCTGTCACCCACATTTTGGTCGGAGATTTTACAGCTTCTTTGGCCAAATTATTACATTCCACTCATCAAAAGCAAGTTTGATGATTTGCATAGTTTATTTTAGCTCCGGTGCGGAGCCGAGAAGATATTGTTTTTTTACATTTTTATGTTGTAACACATTTTGCTTTTATCTTTTTAGACCTCACGTCGTCACTTTAAACTGGATAATTGAAAGCGTTAAACTGAAGTGTACGGCTCCAGAAGAACAGTTTCTCGCAATGGACGCTTCACATACATTTGCGCCAGAATCTCCATCCCCCCTCAGTAAAAAAGTATTATGACTGCAATGTATATTTTATTTTAAGTAAATTATTTATAAAAATATATATTTCAATTAGGGATTGTTCATGATGAAAAACAAAACACTCTCTCAAGCCAAAGTCGTTGAAAAGCCGAAACCATCAACATCGGTAGTACCTGATCCTAGGCCGACGCATAACGATTTTATAGATCAATATTTAAACGCCGGTAAGAAATGTTTTAAAGTATTATTTAACTAAACGTTTTGTTTTCGTTAATAACTCAATTTATAATTTTCAGATAGTAATAACAGTTCTAATAACGATACACAAAGCCAGAGGTCGACATATTCCACAGACGACACATTGTCGACTCAAGATAGTAGACTTGAATCTGTGTTGGAAGGTTTAACCATACTCATGTACGGACTGGACCCACAACAGATGTCGTCGGTGAAAACCAAAATAATTGCGATGGGTGGTACAGCGGTAAGCACTCGTAGTCATCGGGGTAAGTTCAACTACGCTGTCGTGCCCATTGTGTTTAACGAAAAGTCGCTGACTGTAAATGCAGAGATCGTCAGCTGCCTTTGGATAGTAAGTTTTAATGTGTATTGGAGAGGCGCAAAAAAGAGTAATTTTAAAATTTAAATATCCGAGTTTGTCAGTCGGTTGTTCAAAATAATATTTTATCTAGACGAAGCAATTAATATAATTAAAAAAATTGTCTTTTATTCAATAATTTTTTATTTAACTATTTATGACGAAATTCTAATAATAAACGGACTAGTTTTTATTTATCGTGTTACAATTAATGTTATTTGCAAGTATAACATTTTATGTCAAAAAAAGAATTATTTTTAATATTATTTATTATTTAATTTTCTAAATTATTCATTTTACACGCCACCTTAACCTATTGTAATAAGTATATTTTTTAAAACTCATATACTTGTGTATTTTCCCACAGGAAGACTGTTTTAATAACGTCGATAAAGTCACCATCTCATATTATCATAAGCCCGTAATTTTTAGTGGATCGGCTCCTTTGAAGAACTGTGTAATAAGCGTCACCAACTATGCTGGTTCGGAACGGTATTTTTTAAAAGAAGTGTCGTTGCTTCTCGGAGCCCAGTGAGTACAACGCTAGTACATACATTTTAAACTGAAATTATTGTATAAAAGTTTTGCATTATTTTTAATTTAGTTATCAAGATGCGCTGTCCAGAAAACCAAAGCTCGAAGACAATATTTTGGTGACCACCCATCTAATTTGTCCTAACCCGGAAGGGCCTAAGTACGAGGCGTCCGTCAAATGGGGCATACCCGTAGTGTCCAAAGATTGGTTGTTGGATTGCATAAAGTTTAAAAATCGTCTCCCCGAAACCCAATACCCCATTATCGACAAAGGTAAATTAAGTTTGTTCGTAAAACAATCAAATGAGAAAATTTAAACTTTTTTTATGGCAAAGGAAATGAGACACTGACGGGCAAGAGTACAGTGGTGGACATCACAACGAATACGTCCAGCAGAAATCTTAGCCAATTACAAAACCTTACCGACGTGTCACTTACGCCAAGAGTCACCAATTCGGAAGCGTTGGAAAAAGAAATAGAATCCGAACTGGCTGTACCGCTGCAAGACACGGAAGACTTTGAACCGCCGACGAAAAAAAAATGTTCCATAGAAATGAATCCGACGCCCAAAGCGTTCGCCGAAGACAGATCGACTCCGATAGGCCTAAGAGCTCGGCCAAAGTCGTCTTGCCTGACGCCCGTCGCTTCCGGCAGTTATATGACCAATTTAAAAACCCCTGACACACCGTACGGCCAAGTTTTCTATGAACACTCGGTCACACCGGAAACAAAGAAACGGTGGAAAAAGTTTGTATAACAATTAATTTTAATGCTTATCATTATGATGTGTGACGTTTGGTTGACGTTTGTTTTAGATGGGTCGATACTTTGCCCGACGGCCCAAAAGAGTTACCGCCGCAACCTAGTACGAGTAGACGTGAGAGTACTGTAAGTTTTTTGGCGACTAATCATTTTTTTTTTGTCTGACGTTTTTATTTGTCGTACTAGCCTTTGACCGAACTCAAGCGACGCGTTTGGGACAAGCTACTGCATCCATCCTCGAAAAACGAAGAGGTATTTGGTATTTTTCATATTCATTTATATTAGTTTAAACCGTCTTTAACAACATTGTCGTTTATTTTATTGTAGATACAATCGACGGATAACAATAGCAGTTATTCTCTTAATAACTCTCGAAAGTCAAATTTGGGGAACTCGTCGGATAGTTCCCCGAATTTGTCTAGAGACAGTGCCAGATCGGGTAGGTCCAGCGTAAACAAATCACCGACCATAGTGAGTTAAATTATTTTTACTTAATCTCCAAGCAGTCGAGATTTAAAATATCTCGTTGGCGATCGCCCTGCGGTATTGACAACGCCCCGGCCTTAGCACAGCGAGCGCTTGGACGTTAATATTATGTACTTTTTAATATTCGTTTTTTTTCCTCTCACTTTTTAGGATTCGAAACAACAATCGTTAGACAAACAAGAATTTAGACGGTTTGTATAATTAGAAATATATTTTTTATGTTTATTGTCGAATAAAATATAAATAATAAAATATCTCATGTATAGAACGATGGAAGAGTTGCAACAAGACTTGTCGACTCCAAGAGAGCAGCCTGAATTGAATTTTTCTAGAATAGAGTCTATTGACAGTCAAGACGACCACGCAAGTAAGTCGTTATTGTGTTATAATATTGACATAATATTTCAACTAGTGCGAGTCATCATTTGTAAGAAGTTTTAATTTAGAAAATAATTGGATACAAAAAAAAATGATATTGTGTGTAATTATTTAACTAATATAATTTTGAACTACATAATTTCATTTAGGAAATTCGCTATTCAAAGAAAGAGTGATTGAATCGTCACAACAGTGCTCGGTGGGATGGGAAGATCCGACCGAACAACAAGAAAAAGCTCGGGTAAGACTTTGTATGCCAGTAAAACATTTTATATCATAACTAGTGTGTGATAATTGTTGATAGTTAATATTGAATTTTTTTTTTCTAGCTGAAAAGACTAACCGAATGCAATAGGAAGTTCATATTAACCAGCGTCAATGCTAACGTAATACATTATTTATCGTTTATTATTTCCTACTTAAACGTTTAATGCACACTACCCACTCAATCGTTGGTGAAAATTTGCATGACAAATTATAACTAATTCATGTTAATAAAAAAAACAAATTTTTTATCAACGAAATTATAACGATAAAAGTATACATTCGAAATATAGGTACTTATATAGGTCCTTTTTGGAAATGTTTTTTATTCTTAGGAACGACAAAAGTACGAGGACGCGATTGAAAAACTCGGTGCTCAAGTGTTGCGTAGCGCAACTTTCAGCGGAGACGTCACTCACGTGCTAATGCATCAGCCGAGCAGGAGTGAAAAATACCTTTGTTCGTTGGCGTCCGGCAAATGGATTTTGCATCCGAGTTACATTGACGCCTGTTTAGAAAAAAATCGATTTCTTCCCGTTAGTAATATTTTTTATTGACCGACCAACTTAAAAAAAGCGATGAGTATTATTTTTATTTGAAATCACTTTTACAGGAAGACAAATATGAATGGGGCAATCCTTTGTCGGACTTGACGTTGACCACTCCGTTGCACGGAGCCGGTTACCGTTGGCGTAACAAACTCTGTGCCGATCGTTTGGCTGCGTTCAGCAACATGAAAGCCGTGCTGTTGACCTCGGAACCGCGACACCAAGCCCTGAGTAGACTCATCCAAGCCGGCGGTGGCGTCATCTTGGATATAAAGTAATTTTACCTCATAAATATTTTGATTTATCGAGGTGGTGAAGTGTTCGAATTTATAACACTGAATAAATGTGTTTTTTTTTTTGTTTAGGGATCTACTGAACTCCACTCATTGTATTGTTGATCAAGGTCACGGCAACATTCCGGTTCCCCTCAACGAAATAGCCGCCAAAGGCATACTATTACTGCCGGCTCTGTTTTTGGCCGATTTCCTAATCAAGGATCCCATACCAGACCCTAAACAATGTCTGATTCCCGAGTACCAAGCTTTTTACAACCGGTTGGCGCCCAACTCTTGAGCGGGAAACTCGAACGTACGTCGTTGTATCTATTTTCAATATCGTGTTCTTTGTTTGTCTTTTTATTTATTTAGTTTTTCTTTTAGCCGTATTTATTATCGGTCAGATCTTTTAGATCTGATCGTAGCGTGTATTAATTAATTGCATTAATAAATTTTAACGTGAGTGTTTCCAACGATAATATTAATATTTTAATCCTTTACACTGGAAAGTTGTAAATACTTCATTACGGTCGGCCTGGTCCGGACTGCTAAATTGACGGTCATCGACCGGGTCAACTTCTTTCCTTTACATCGTACTTGACTAATATATTACTTGTATAGGGACATTAGGTACATAAACATGAGTTGTTCTATGTTTGTATTTAATGTAGTTATCCGTTTTCCCGCGATACTCAATTATTTACTAATTATATGACAAAAGCTGGACAAAATTGAAATAAGATAAAAAAAAAAATGTATCATTTAACTTACTATTATTTAAATTGTACACGATTATATTACAAAAACAACAGTACAGAGTAGTAAAAAGTATATAAATTAAACACAAATGAGAAAATGACTTGTTGTCTACCTATTTACAATACGAGAATTTTAGACGGCTCGCTTATACGCGTAGTTGCTATGTAAAATACAGTCGGTAAAGGTACGAGTAACAATAGTGCATAGTCTGTCGGTGGATTAGCCAACTGCGTGATGGCCACTATACCGAATCCATGGCTTATCCAGTGTATGGCCACAATCAATACGTTTCTCGGCACACACACTGTGTTGACGATCAAGTACCTGGTGGACTATTAAAACCGTACGTCAATTTATTATTTGCCAAATATACATTAAAAAAAAGTAATAACAAATAGAATACCTGATTGATTTCTGTGGCAAAATGTATTGCGCTCGACACGACCGACAAAACGATAACAATGTACGGAAATGTGACATCTTTAAAAAAAAAAAAAAATTGTATTCATTATTTTAACCCATTTTTGGTTTATTTGTTTTAACGAAAATACTTACAGACGATGCCTCCTAAAAATGCGTGCGTTACGGCCGCGATGGGGAAAAAGTACAATCCAGCGTACACCGTTTTCAAGTACGCCGATTTGCTCAAACTGAAGTACGTGGACAAAAGTGGTCGGAACAATATCATGGCGATTATACAAGCCAAATAGAAAATAAATATCATCGAATACCTGTAAAAAAAAAAAAATTGATCATTATTAGTTGATCATTTTAAATGTCAAAGAAACTTACAGCGGATAAACGGCTTCTTGCGTACACCGCAAGGGTTCACGATAATCTGGCGTCGGATTATACAGTACCGTGTACCAATCGGACAACCATTGTGTATGACATGAACGAATCGATAATTGACCAAAGGGATCGACGGCCAACACGGCCAGAACTGCGGCGGCGACCACTTCTAGCGTTGCAGAAATATACAACACGATCTTTGTGCTAGTGTTTTTCCTTGAATTACCACCATTTGGTGAAAACAACAAACATGATACGACGACATATAAAACAAAGTGTTATAATACCTTTTCGCTTGAGACGTCCACGACATGGACGATAAATCTATGTATACTGCGTGGAATAATAAGGGCACAGTGGCCATGAACAACAAGTACATCCAGTCATAGGACGACGGCGAATCCGTACAAATTTGACACATGTGCGATGAATTGACTCGCGTACCGGTCGGGCATGATCCACAGTCGCTGTTACGTCCGTTTGCCAGCAAACGCCGACCGCAATAGTATCCAGGACATCTCTGTTCAATGTTGTTGAAGCTCTACAACAAAAGTAATTGAAGTTAGATCGCCGCGACACAAAGACTGCGACTGCGAAATCATACATGACAATTCAATTTTTAAAGGACTGCTGCAAATACAACTCACCCCCATGAAATAATTATTGTACTCTCCCATTGTGGTGTTCATCGGTGTTCTTTATAACATTAGTACGATTGATTTTCGACTCGATACCGTTTCTGTTGGATTGGAAAAAAAAAATTAACTCAAAACACAGCTTAATTGATTTTTATAATAACATCAAAAACAATAAATTACCATATTAATATTTGGTTGATTTGTCGGTGTTCAAATGTATTCTGATGAATTCCATAGAAAATGTATTCGGACTTTTGAGCTGATGTCCAATATTAAGTCAACATATTTTTTTTTATTTATAAACTATTAAACAAGTACTCGCTACTTACTTGTTAACGTTTAGTACCTACTTAATAGGCGAATAATTAAACGTTTAGTTTGAGTGTTCTCTTCTTATGTAAAACGATCCAAACACAGCAGCTACAACATCAGTCCGAGCACGATACCTTCTCTACATCATAGACTGTGATAATGTGTTATCACTTATCAGTTAATGTTATCAGTGATAACATTTGACGGGCACAGTGACCTATTTGATAATAAATAAGTGCATTGGTGTATGTTGTGCTGCCAATACCGTATTATTCTAAGGGGCAGAACATACACTCCCTCATAAACATCAACAAAATTAAAATATCAAATAAAAAAATATTTTACCCTATTGAAAAATTTAGCTGTTGTTAAGAATAATTGTGAGATTGTGAACAGAGCTCGTTACTTTGTGCTGTACAAGTCTGGTGAATACGATTGATAAATTCTGACAAACCTAACAACGTTGTTTATTCAATGTTTTTATCGTTTTTCTAATAAAACCGTTTGTAGAGTTTGTGAAAGTGAATCTGAAGATCAACTGTTCAATGTAAATTACTCTTGTGGACAATTTAATGAGCATATTGCTGATTAAAATTTTTAATTCCTTTAAAACAAATATTAGAATTTACTATTTTATCGAGTAATAAAGCATGTCTGATTTAATGAACATAATCTTATAACACATTTGGGACAGCTAAGTTAACATAATAAATTTGTAATATCACTATTAATAGTGTAATCAATTACCGTTAAACTTAAATAGTAACACAATGTAAAATTAATTTTAGGAAAAGAATGCACATAAACTCTACACAGTAATAAATCCAATGTATAGGAATTTTTGTTCAAATCAATTACTAGAACTAATTAGCGCCTAACAAAAATAAAATAAAAACAAAAAATACAATTCATGTATTTTATTTAAAAAAATTAAAAATAATAGGTATTAAATAGTTTAACCAAATCAAGGCAAGTCGGGTAAGGACGACGAATCGTTATTGACAAAAGTATCGAGATTGTCGAGGATGTCGTAATTTATCTTCGAAGACAGTTTCTTCTTTTTCAACACACGTTCCACGGCTTCGGCCGCCGTCTTCGCCGGCGTCCTTAACGAGTCTTTGAGTTTTTTCTCTTTGGCTTTCATAAATTTGGGATTCTTAGCTCGCTCTTCTCTGTTGATTTGTATTTGTCTGTAAGCCGACCCATGCATTTTCATCCACATGTCTTTTTTCATTTGGTGGCCATCTTTTGACAGTATATATGAATCAATCTCGTCTTCATCTATGTCGTCGACATACATCGTCACTTCTTCGTCGTCATCTTCGTACGTACGCTTGTTTTCAGATAAACCCATGATTTCCAACGACGGGCCCACACTGGCTGGTTTGACGTCCAAATTTGCCTCAGTAGATTCCGCTTCGATTTCAGCCAAGTTAACGCCGAAAACTCTAGTGTTTTTTTTCTTACACAGTTCTTTTTCAATGGCCGTTTTCACTTCGTCGATAAATTTCTCGTTGTCGTTGGCCTCGAAAAACTTGTCAATGCGCTCCTTGTCTTTTGCACGAGCGATTCTGTACGACGGGGGATCGTGGGTTTCTTCTAAATCGACGGTCATAAACTGTTCTATGGACAGCATGCTGGAAGGCGTGTCTTTGAATTCCAATAAACGTTTCTTCAACGTGGCGTGATGGCAATGTACGACTTTGATAATATCGTCGGTGGTCCGATTAAAATCGTGCATACGACCCGCAATCAACAAAGCTGCACCGCACAAACTCGACGGTCGTCTACCTGTAAAATCGCAAACATTTAATGGAACCGTAAGTAGGTTTATTTAAAAATAATACAACAATTTTCGTTTACCCGTGTGTATGGAATCTCTCATCATCCTTTGTAACAATCGCATGGCCGTCGTGTAGACAATATGAGTTTTGTCACCGAAATCCAATGAGTTGACGAATCGCATTAAAAATATGCTAGGATCGAGACTCGGCACGGTCAAACTTAGCGTCTGCATCATTCTCAAGTAAGTTTTGCCCAACTCGAATGCGTTAACCTCGCTCGCATCGGCCACGTCCAAGAGCATGTGCATGGTGCCTTCCATCCTACATGCTATGTACACCGAAGCCGCGTAAATCAAAGCGTTCTTTCTGCCTCGAGTGAAATGTCTCTTTAACGCCATGTTATAGTAAACACAGGCGTTTTCAAGAGTCTGAGGACTAAGATTAAGACTATTGCTCAGCACTTGTATGCCTCGCCTTGCTTTCGCTTGAGTCATTTCACGCGAAGGTTGCTTCATGCCATGGTGGAAAGCGCTGCCAAAGTTGTGAAAATTAGCGGCTTGCGAATCCGAAGACAAAAACTGTCCGACGGCACGGGACCCGTGATCGGTTTCTTCAAACTGAACCTCGGACACAATATTGGACTCGTCCATAACGCCTCCGCAGTCCATGCACACGGTCGGTCCATCGCTGGAGTCGAGGTGCAGAGAACCACAATCGGTACACTTCATGTTTGCAGTTTGGTCGACGTACCCCTTAATTAGATATTATAGCTACAACCGAAAATAAAAACAACTGATGATTAAGCTGTTATAGTGAAAAAAATAATCTATAAACGATTACTTAGTTTCTAGTTTGCTCGCAAAGCCAAATGATAGAACACTTCAAATCGTACACGTTATCGACAAAATTACAAAAAGTCCACGACAACGTAAAAAAAATATTCTTTAATACTTAAGTTGTTTTACAAAATAAAAATGATTACACGACTACAACGATGACGGATTTTAAATTGCTATAATCTAATAACGATTGAACGAATAAAAAATGCATTTATTTCTTGTTCTTGTTCTTGCCTCGATATAATATTGCATTAACCAAATTTTCTAAGAAATTATATTATTATTCGAGTTATCGAATAAAATGCGACAAATCGAATCGAGGCATAAATATAAGTAACTATTTCATTTTTTTTTTATAGAAAGTACCTCGAAAGTTGTAACTTGAAACGTTGATCGACGTCTTGAAACCTAAAAAAAAATTAGTGATAACAAAACCAGGCTTTGACGTTTATGAATTTCGAATATCCACACTGATAGTATTATTATTTTTATACTTATACTTATGGTCAAGGTTAATTGATTCCATATGGCTTATGGTACAACTGTAAACGACACGTGACAATTAATGGATTCTGATCTTGGCACTGATCCGGTTAGGTAGTCGTCCACAAAATATATAGTTAAGTTCAGATCATAGACATATAAAGATTTCTTTATAGGTCTATGGTTTAAATGTGTGCAAATAATTATTGTACTTCAAACGTTTGGAAATAATCAAATTGTTCCCAAAATTTGGAAAACTGATGAACAACATTGACGTAGGTATGCCCGCAACTCGTGTTATCAGTTTTCACAACATGGCTGCCGCTATTCTCACGTGAGAAATACACGGTGGACCGGAAATGGCGGAAGCCTATAGGCGGTTATCGCACGAGTTTCCGACTTACCTGTATCACTTGGTGTGACCCGTTATCAATATTCGACAACGTTTAAGCGGGAAACCTAATACCGATTACAAAGCCAAATGAGCGAGGTCATTGAAAAATGTCAATAGTATAGTGAGTACAATATTAAATATTTGAATATCTGTCCATCGGATTTAAAAAATATCAATTCTCCAACTTAAATTAAATACTCAAAATATGTGTGGCCGAACAGCTTGGTAAATATTCTTAGGAGTTATATATTATTATGATTATACTTATTTAAGTACCTATTGTTATTTATTTATTATTTTGTTAACATTGATTTTAATTCTTATTTTTTTGTGCAAATAATAGTAATTTGAAGCGAGAAACCTACAGGAAAGCGACTAGTTACAAAGATCCAAATGATAATTCGTTGCGTAAACCGGAGTGGCATCGTCTGGACAATGGCGGTCGTGAATTCATGCCTTCCAACAATATCGCGCCTACGGACGTGACTCCCGTACTGGTTTCCGGAGAAGATTTTGAATCTTGCGAGTCCAGAGTTCTGGCCCCTATGGTATGGGGAATGATACCTCCGTGGCATAAAGTACAGTGTTTGTATGTTGTGAAACTACTTAACAAACACAACCATAACGTAGCATAATAATTGTGTCCTTAGGGCAAAATAAACGATCACGGTCTGACTACAAATAATTGCCGAGTAGAAAGCTTGACCACTTCGAAACTGTTTCAAACGCCATTGACGGAAGGAAAAAGATGTGTCGTTGTTTGTGAAGGTTTCTACGAATGGAAATCAAAACTGCCATACTTTATATACTCCCCTCAAGCAAAAGACGTATGTATTTATTATGGTGCCGAGCTGATGTCGATACTAACAACGGTGATATTGTACTTATAACACTAGACTTTGGTTTACGACAAAAATATATGGGAGACGGCTTTGTGGTCAGAAGATTCCGGATGGAATGGGCCGTCCTTGCTAATGTTGGCCGGCTTGTACAACAAATGGAAATCGCCAGAAGGCTGTTTGGTGTACAGTTATTCGGTAATTACAATGGATTCGAATACAATGTTCTCTCAGATACATCATCGGATGCCAGCAGTTTTGGAAAATGAACGAGTAGTCGACGTAAGAACCATTATATAGATATGGTCAAAAGGGTGTCTATTTTGAACGCCATAACAATGTTTTTGTTTGTACGAACCACATTTAAACGGGCTTCGTGTGCATGGAAACATACGTACTTATTTCAAAACAATTAATCTGCTTATAATATTATCAAAACGGGAATTTCCTAGAAACGATTTATTCGTATTAAGAAATAGTACAATTTTGTCGATTTCACATAAAATATGTAAACAATATTTATTTTTAAACAGGATTGGTTGGACAGCAGAAGAGTGTCAGTCAACAGAGCGATTTCTCTGCTTCGTCCTGTCGATAAGTTGGAATGGCACAAAGTGTCCAGCTCGGTTAATAATTCACGTCATAAAAGCGACGACTGCAACAAACCCATATCGAAAATGTAAGCAAAAATTGTACTGTTTGCTGAAAAAATGTATATGTTTTAATTACAAACTTTGTTCAGAGCCAACAAAAGCACGACTTTCATGAATTCATGGTTGTCTGGAAACAATAAAAAGAAAATCGACAACGATGAACAAGTTGAAACCAATAAAAAGCCTAAGTTTTAATATATTCAATGCGAGTGACACTCGGATGCTTTAACATGAAAATGTTTTAAGTAGTGTTCAAAAAAAAAATTGCTTTTTATCACTGACGAACAAAATTGATTTCGTGAGCGCATTCAGTATGTAATTTTTGGTTAAATTATTATGTACGATTTTAACAAAAACAAAAAAGTAGACTGTAGTGATTATATTGTGATGAAATGAGCTGAATTACAATTAATTTTTAAGATTATGTTACCAGTTGATAATATATTAATAGTTTATCGGCTGTATATAGATAAATTAAAATTATTACACTGTTGATTTACTATTTATAAGTTTATAATGTAAAAATAAATGTAAAAAAAAATCATTAAAATAAGTCGATTGCAAATTAAATTTCCTGAAATCACATCAATATTGATTTTCCAATAAAATGTCCTTGCTTCCAAGCTCAATTAAAAATAAATCTATCTTTAATTTAATATTCAGTCATTAAGTCCTAAAACTATTGTAAAGTATATTTATAAACAATGTTTATCAACAATATTTAATAAGTAAATTATAAGAATAAACCGCACTTGTAAGACAAAAGCACAAATATATAACATGTAAAAATATAAATGCTTCACAATAAAAGTGAAACGACTGTAAAAAGGCATTAGCTGATAATAAAGTGCCATCATATACAATTTTGTTATATTTCATTTGACTCATCTGAAGAATAAAAATATATACCCTTTACTATTTTAACCCCGTTTTCTAAAACAATTTAAGCCTAAACAAATTAAAAGAACTACTATTGTCTATTGGCACAGCGGTTAAAACTGGCTGTTTACCCTATTTCATATTCTACATAATTGCTATATGGTATAATTTAAACTGTCGGCTGTGAATTAGTTCTTAAAACACAGTTATTTGAAATCTGGCTTTCAGGAATAATAAGCAAATATTTAAAACTATAATATTTACTAACAAAAATTAGTTTACAACTATATAATTACTTTATTCTATAATAAAAATAAAGTTTGTCGGGCACAAATTTTAATTTTAATAATCCCAGTCAATAAGTCCACACGAATTTATTATTTTATTACTATTATTACTATTTTGATATATTTTTCATATAAAAAAAAAAACATGTGTACACTTTTCTTTAAATCAAATATTTTTATTCACTTATTATAAGCTAAAAATAAAGGTGATATATTTAAATTATTCTTGAATGATTGTAAATCGTCATGATATATAATGCAGTGACCGGGTATAATAATAAAATAATACAAATATTCTAGTATTATTGTAACATGAGTATATTCTTAAAGAAACGTACATTTTTAATATACAACTGAGAAAGCAAATAAAGGTAATACTGCCGTATTATTACATTTAACTGTTATTATTATTATTACAAGTGTTTTTCTCAAAAAATAAACAATCAAAGAGCACTAATATTTACATATCAGGTAAAATAATAATAGTGGGGAAGTTTTCCAGTACAGATACTTTTAAGTATATCTGTTTTTAAATATTCGTAAACGGGTATCGCTCGCATATAGGCCTGCTTTAGATATTTTTTAATGTATATATTGTTTTGTATTTATTTACATTTTTTAGTATTTGAAATTGTGTAGGTACATATTATGTATAATTTATAATACAAATTTTACAAGATGAGGTTATCGATGAACTGAGTCTCCAAACAAAAAGAAAATTGGATTAACTGATTAATAATTTTGGGTTATAGTGGTTTTTAAAAATAAAATATTGATGTTATGATGTTGTTTAGTTGCTTGGGGGGTGTGGAATCAAGTCTGTGGAATCCAATTTATTTCACCACCACCTTAACCAATTCCTACTGCCAACAGTGCCTGTATATGTTGATCCAGTAGTTCCTGTTGTATCTAGATAAAATGTCAAAAATTGTATCAATGAAACGTTACACCAAAATGTATTAGAAGGACAGACAATTATGTTTAAATCTTTCGTTATAGTATTTTTAATTAGTCCAATATAATTTTAATAATTTATTTAACTTTTTTTTCTAAACAAAAAAATCCTTTCAAGTGTTTCACTTGTACCCACCGTATATTTTTTGTTGTATGTTTTATAGACATAATAACAAATTTAATTTTATCATATTATAAATATACTAAATTATCAGTTTGTATTACTCGTACAATTAGCTGTGTTGGGATCATCATCAGACTCATTATCAGACTCAGTATCATACTCAGTATCAGATTCAGTATCTTCATCGCTATTATCGCCACAGTTTTCATTGTTTGAGTAATTATAGCCACAGTTCACATTGTTTGTGTTACTATTGTCGCAGTTTACATTACACATATTACTTCCACTTATTACATAATTTTCTAGAAAAAAAAAATTAAATTAAAGCAAGGTATATAAATTAATTTATATAATTTTTCTTTAGCAGTTTCATTTTGGTATGATTAATTTATCCAATTCGAAATGTAAGCTGCTAAAATTACATATACATTAAAATGTCATTATTCGAACGATTGTCAAGAGAAGATTTAATTACATACAAATATATTAAAAACGCAATTCTCTACCAGCGATGGAATCTTTTTTTTTTAAAACTTTTTCAGCATAGTTTTGGTACTTTAGATTGGTTTTTTTTCATTACAGAAAAACTCAAAAAAAGGGAAAATAACACTCGACCGTATCAAACTTCCTATTGAAATTAAATTCACATCATACAAGTATTACTGGACACTTTTTACTGGTCAATAATTCATTGCTTCGACAAAAATAAAGTAGTGCTTAATCACCTTCGTCGGATGCAATACCAAAATCTTCTTTTCTAAATTGATATCCAACAGTGCCTGTTCTTGTCGATCCGGTAGTTCCTGTTGTATCAAGATAAAATGACAAAAACTGTATCAATGATACGTTACACCAAAAATATATTAGAAAGACAGACAGTAAATTATATTTATATCTTTCGTTATAGTATTTTTAATTAGTCCAATATAATTTTAATTATTTATTTAACTTTTTTTTTTCTAAACAAAAAAAATCCTTCCTAGTGTTTCACTTGTACCCCTTGTATGTTAAATGTTGTATGCTACATACGAACAAATTGAATTTTATCACTTTTTAATTACCCTATATTATGCATTTTTATTACTCGTACGGTTAGCTGCGTTTTGTAAAAATATAATTAGACGATTTTGACTAGTCCAATGATTTATTTGTTTTGAACTAAGGTAATAGTAATATTTTTCACCTTTCGTTGGGCCTTGGCTTGACCCGGTACCGACCGAGCTGTGCCCTTGATTTCCAAAATTACTAAACTTTCCCTCAGCTTGTTTCTGAATTTTTTTCCCGTCGTTGTCGTTTTTTTTTCTTTTAGAGTCGGAGCCACCGATTTTGTTCTGTGGATTTATAGGGTTTCCGTTTGCATCTGCTGGAACTTTTCTTCCGTTGACCGTGAATCCATCCACTTTATGATATGTTACAACTGGAACGACATTTTTATTTCCAATATCCATTGGAATTTTTTTACCGTCGATGATCACTCCATGTTCGTATAAACATATACTTGGACCTGACGACAAATCAACCGAGTATAATTTAAAAGTGTAACAACTTGAATCATTAAAATTCATCAATAATTATAGTTATCCATCCATAAATATTGTCTTGTACGATTTATTTTACTTTCTAACTGTATGTATGTACAATAATATGTTTGTGTTTAATTATGGACCGATATTTTAACTTTTACCGTTTTTAATGTAAAATGGAGTTCGGGGAAATAGTTTTTCAGACAACGATGCATTACTCTAGAATTAAACAAATAAGGACCTCAATAGAGAGCAGGAGGTGAAAGTCCTGATAAGAAAGTGAAAGCAGGTGATAGGATTACACAAAGAGAGATGAGGTAATAAAGAAATAAATGTAGCAACAAAAAAGGTTTTTAGATAGGACTGATAGGTAAATGATAAGCCCATAAATAGATATTATATTCGGATAATAAATAGTTCGGATGAGAAAATCTCGGGTTAACTTTGCAAATTGTTATGATCAGCGTTGAGAATAAATAACAGTAATGGGAAAACAACAATATTCTACTTATAGTAGGTAGGTACAATAGTATTTTTTTTAGTGTTCAATTATGGACCGTTATTAATGTATAATGGAGTTCGAGGAAAAAGTGTTCCAGGCAACAATGCATTGCTCTAGAATCAAACAAATAAGGAACTCAATAGAGAACAGGAGGTGAAAGTCCTGATAAAAAAGCGAAAGCGGGTGGAAGGGATGGTACACATAAAGGGATGGTAATAGGAATGAGAATAGCAATGGAACAATAACAAAATTCTACTTACTGTCGGTGTACCGATTATTATGCACATTGTTTAATCCTTTGTATAAAATGTTTTTATAATATACGACTGGTTGCTGCGATTTGCCATAGTTATCTAGAGTGTAGTCCAAAATCACTATTTATTAGTTGATTTGTTTAAAAACTAATCTCAATTGACTGATAAAAACTTTTAATAAATTATTGTCAAAAAATAATATTGACATGCATAGTTGGGAATTTTTTATTTAATGTAAAATACATAAAGTTTACTTTTTAATCTAATAATAACAAACAAGATTAGTCAGCAATGCAAATTTTAACTTTTATGTGCGAATAAAATTAGTCATGATTAAAAAATAAATGAATATAGTTTTAGTACAATTCGATAATTGTTATTTAATTCTATTTTCATTTAACTTATAAAAAAAACTAGCCTATGCGTTTATAACAATTATTTAGTGTTTGTCTTATTTTTTTAAAGAATAATAGGATTTTAGCTAAAATAACTGCGTTGAACTTGTTTTAAAAAATAAATAGCGATAACTTATTTAGAAAAAAGACATTTTTATGTTATGTTTTCTGTAAAACTACTCAGTTAATAAAAATTAATTATATCCTAATCAATCGATTAGGAGATCCCGAAAAATTACCTTTTCCTGTTTACGTTTTTATTTCATTAATATAGTTATTGCAATATTACACTTAACCTATACGAATAAAATGTCAAAAGGTCTGAAAATGATGGCTTCAGAGACTTTTATAAAACTGGTTATCGACCAGTCAACATTTTTAGTACATTTTTCTCAATTAAAAAACTTAATGAAATGATGTATGCGTTACCATTTAATTTTCAAAGTTGCTTTCAAAAAAACCTAAGTTGGGAAGAGGGGATACAAAAGGTAAATACAAAAAAAACTGTGAGAAATTGAGATCACTTTGTTTAAAAGCATTGTGGAAAAAAAAACTCAACTATTGATGAAACCCAGTGAAATATTGATAAGTCGATCACCCAAACCACAATGACATTTATACAAACTAGCATCGCAAATCCATCGATTCAATCCAGTATAATTATCGTTATTTTGAAAATTAGTGGCTCTTAACTGATATCAATGCAAAAATACCTATTAGATTATTAAAAGAAAACAATATTTTTAAAAGCATCTTGAGGCAATTTTTTTGAAAATATTTTTAGAAGTTATAAGGTAAGGTTTAAAATTAACGAAAAATGTGTCTTTTTTTAAAATAAATTAATGAATGTTCTGTTTTAAATAACACAAATATATCTTCGAGGTGCCCTCAATAATATTTTTTTCTTTAATTTTTGTTCTAAAATCGTTCAGTAAGCCGTATTTTTGGATGTAAAAAAGTAAGTTTTTTTGGAAAATTTGTTTTAAATCGCTGTCGCGAATGCTGTGATAGTCCGAAAAAAAATTTAACTACCAAAAAAGCGTCTTAATTAGTGAACTAATAATAACACATCACAGTTTAACCTTTAAGTTAGGATTTTGTAAAAAATTGCCTACACTTAACGGCTGCGCTGACATCCTCTTAACTTTTTTTTCCTAAACAAAAAACATGGTCTGATTAAATAATAAAAAAAAAAAACCCTTTGAAGTGTTTCAATTGTACCCATCGTATATAAAATGTATGTTTTATAGACATAACAACAAATTTTATTTTATCACTTTTTAAGTGTCCTTTACTATGAATTTTTATTACTCGTACGGTTAGCTGTGTTTTGTAAAAATATAATTAGATGATTTTAACTAGTCCAATGTTTTATTTGTTTCGACTTAAGGTAATACATTTTTTTTTTTACCTTTTTTTGGGCCTTGGCTTGACCCGGTACCGATCGAGCTTGCACCTTGATTTCCAAAATTACTAAACTTTCCCTCAGCTTGTCTCTGAATTTTTTTCCCGTCATAGTCGTTTTTTTTTCTTTTAGTGTCGGAGCCACCAATTTTGTTATGTGGATTTAAAAGGTTTCCGTTTGCATCTGCTGGACCTTTTCTTCCGTTGGCCACGAGTCCATCATTTTTATAGTATGTTACAACTTAAATTTGTGTACAATTTAATAATTATTTATTTATGTTTTCATTAAACTTATAAAAAAAATTGTCTATGCGTTTATAACAATTATTTATTGTTAGTCATATTTTTAAATGAATAATAGTATTTTAGCTATAAAACTGCGTTGAACTTGTTAAAAAAAAAAATAGCGATAACATATTTTTAAATAAGACTTTTTATGTTTTTTGTTTCCTGTAAAACTACTTGGTTAATACAAATTAATTTTATCCCTTATTAATTCACATTATAGATATCCTAAATTATCAATTTTTATTACTCGTACGGTTAGCTGTGTTTTGTAAAAAATATTACTAGATAATTTTAACTAGTCCAATGTTTTATTCGTGTCGACTTAAGACAATAATTTTTTTTTTTACCTTTTGTCGGGCCTTGACTTGACCCGGTACCGACCGAGCTTGCACCTTGATTTCCAAAATTACTAAACTTTCCCTCAGCTTGTCTCTGAATTTTTTTCCCGTCATTGTCGTTTTTGTTTCTTTTAGAGTCGGAGCCACCGATTTTGTTGTGTGGATTTAAAGGGTTTCCGTTTGCATCCGCTGGAACTTTTCTTCCGTTGACCGTGAATCCATCCACTTTATGATATGTTACAATTGGAACGACATTTTTATTTCCAATATCCATTGGAATTTTTTTACCGTCGATGATCACTCCATGTTCATATATACATATATTTGGACCTGACGAAAAATCAACCGAGTATAATTTAAAAATGTAATAACTTAAATAATTAAAATTCATCAATAATTATAGTTATCCATCCATATATATATTGTCTAGTACGATTTATTTTACTTACTAACTGTATGTATGTACAATAATATGTTTGTGTTTAATTATGGACCGATATTTTAACTTTTACCGTTTTTAATGTAAAATGGAGTTCGGGGAAATAGTTTTTCAGACAACGATGCATTACTCTAGAATTTAACAAATAAGGACCTCAATAGAGATCAGGAGTCGAAAGTCCTGATAAGAAAGTGAAAGCAGGTGATAGGATTACACAAAGAGAGATGAGGTAATAAAGAAATAAATGTAGCAACAAAAAAGGTTTTTAGATAGGACTGATAGGTAAATGATAAGCCCATAAATAGATATTATATTCGGATAATAAATAGTTCGGATGAGAAAATCTCGGGTTAACTTTGCAAATTGTTATGATCAGCGTTGAGAATAAATAACAGTAATGGGAAAACAACAATATTCTACTTATAGTAAAGATATAAAACCTACTTGAACCCTAAACCATAAAAATTATACACGTGTTACGACAACGATGTTGTCATCTTCAGCGCTAACAACAGACTCCAACAGAGTATAATTTTTATGGTTTAGGGTTCAAGTAGATTTTATATCTTTACTATATATTTAACCATAAGTTTGCTTAGCAGTTTTTTCTAGAATATTCTGCTTACTGTCGGTGTAGCGATTATTTTTCACATTGTTGAATCCTTTGTATAAAATGTTTTTATAATATACGACTGGTTGCTGCGATGTGCCATAGTTATCTAGAATGTAGTCGAAAATTACTAGTTTGTTAGTTGTTTTGTTTAAAACTTAATAATGTACTCAATCGACCGGTTCAAACTGTTAATAAATTATTGTCAAAAAAAAATTAGTGACATGTTGGAAATTGTTTCTGATTGGTGGATCCCGTGGAACCGTGAATCCATCAATTTTATATAGTATGTTACAACTTAAATTTTTGTACAATTTAATAATTTTTTATTTATGTTTTCATTTATCTTATAAAAAAAATTGTCTATGCGTTCATAACAATTATTTATTGTTAGTCTTATTTTTCAATAAATAATAGTTTTTTGCTAAAAAACTGCGTTGAAACAGATTTTCAAATAAGATATTTTTATGTTTTTATTTTTCTGTAACTTGGTTAGTACAAATTAGTTATATCCTAATCAATCGATTATTACAAAAAAAAAAAAAATTAACGATGATTAAAAATATCATGACTGATAAAGTTAATCGTGGGCAATATTTAAGTTGGTTATGTCTAAATTTAATTAATTATGAAAAATAGTTACTTTTATAATTATTTGTATGGTTATTTATGGTTTATTATTTATATTATTTATTTACGCAACAATTTATATTTTTAATTTTCAATTTAATTATTTATCACTAAAAATAATCGTATATACCGAATAGTTAAAATATGCTTTACTGTGTAAAATATGGTTTTTATTTATACTTGATAGTTTTTAACATCTATAATTGCCCATCAAAGGTTATTTACAAATTCAGTCATAGCAATGAATAACTAATTAAGGTTTGCTATTAACACATAGCAACTACTAATTTCCGCCTTCATTAAGTTATTTTTCTTATCTCAAATCTTATGTTTTGTAGTTACCTTTTTTGGATTTACGTTTTTCGGCAGTTCCATAACCACCATCACACCTGAATGGCCAACGTTTATATATTCAAATTAAAAATGAATACATGAAATCTCTAGAGTCAATCAAATATTTCCAAAGCTTTTGAAAAAGTAAAAATTAGAAAAAATACTTACGTGGCGTACGCTACCAAACTAAGCAAAAGAACAATTTTAACATTCATCATGTTTCATCTGTTCTAAAAAAACTGTTCTAAAATTTGCAGTGTTTTCGAGACTTATATAGAGCCAAAGTCAACGGTTACATCTACAATCGATGTGGGTTTTAAGACTGACAGTTGCCAAATTTCTATAAACAGTTAGGTGTTTAGTCGCTCTTACAATACCCATAAATTTTGCTACGTACATAACACGACGGTGTGTGAGGCGAGGAAGAGCCGCGGTGTCTCCTATGCGCGATGGCTTAAGTTAAAAATATCCAAGTGCTATAGGGGCCCTATGTTTTGTTTGCCTATTCCGTGTGTTTGTCAACCGGTAATGCCGCTACTATACATTTTTTTCGCCTTTTTGGCTATTCTAGGATATGCTAGAATTTGATATTTTATAGGGTAGTCTTTGAGAGTGAGAGTTCATTAGGCCACTGGCTACACTAGAAATGCCCCGTTATGTTGTTTCACCTGGCGGTGTTCCTTACCAAACGATTTTCTAAAATTATAGGTAAGCAAATAGTTTTATAATCAATTCAGAACGTCGGCAAGGAATAATAAAAAATGTGAGCCATCCGTACAAAACTTGAAGAATATTCAACGGATATAATAGTTCAATAATCGCGGCGTGTGCCAAGAAATGCTAATTTGATTTTGAAAATTGGAAAAATAGTAACAAACTATAACATATACTTTTGTCTTCTTCGCAAAAAGTTAATGTTTTCTACCCCAAGTGTCAAAACTGAAGGACAAAATATTCCTAAAGACTGTGCGTTGGCGAATTTTCAACATTTTATTTAGTAGGTAACGAAGTTATAGCTATTGAAAAATATTATATAAAGGTTTTTTTTTTTGTTCATTAAATACTCTACTCTATGAAAAATAGAATTTTTGGTTATAACCATTATAAAACTATATGCACGGTAAAGGACACCAGCTGTATTGATTTTGTATTGGCATCAAAAATACTGGCGATGTCGCAAATGCACTAATATCAAATAACAATAATTTCTCTCTTTCTCGTGGTCACGGATTTATAATGTGGCGAAGAAGATCACAATATTGAAAGGGAAGGGGTGACTTTTTTACAATTTTTGGCCCAATTATGTACCGTTCAGGTACGATATCTGATCTATAGAGTTGCTACACGAAGAAATGGACTCGAATAATTGTACAGAATAACAATTCGAAGTAGACATTATTTTGACAGGCTTTAAGGTCTCAATTGGTTTCATGTACTACCAAAAATAGCTTTAACTTGTAGGACATTTTTCAGCCGAGTCTGCAACCACAAAAGATCATTTTCATGTCTTGTTAACAAGCTAGTATAATAAAACGTCAAGTTTCTGGCTAAAATTGTAGTGTTTATTATCTGGCTTAAAACAATTCATAGAGAAATTGGGCTCTTAAACTGTTTTGAATTTATTATTAGTTATTATTATTTATTGAATTTATTATTATTATAGTTCTAATTTGAACGTTGAACGTATAACATATCTCTTATCTCCTATATCTTACCCCTATCACTAACCCCCTATCTCCCACCCCTACCCACCCCTATAACTAACCCCCTATCCCCTACCCCTATATCCCACCCCTATCACTTACCCCTATACCCTACCCCTATTTCCACCTCCAACCCATCTCCGTGTGGTAACGCTCTTTTGGTAACGCTTTTTTCGTTACACTTTTTTTCGGTTATTTGCCATAGCTAATTCCACCCCTTCCCCATTCCCACCTCATCTTCAACCCCATTTCTTTTTTGGTAACGCTCTTTTGGTAACGCATTTTTCGTTACAATAAGCTAAGACATGAAAATGTCAAAAAGTTGTATAGGTACGTTATACAACTAATACCATGAAGCTTACAGGCATGGATTCAGAAGGGCACCCCCCCCCACCCCCTTGTTGGCTCAATCATAAAAGTTGCTTATTTCAGTTTTGGGGCAAAGCTTTTGTTTTTTTATTGTTAATAAATTAATTTAATATAATATTACAAATAAATCTCTATTGTAGTGAACGCAGACTAATATTCACACCGGCGACGGCCAATCATTTTTGTCTTTTATTTTGCTAAAAAAAAAATCTGATTTTATATTATTTTGTTTACAAATATTATCTTGTACCTATCACCAGCTGACAGCTACACAACCCGACCCGTTCATCATACATCTTCCCGGTTGCCCGGTAGGCCAGCACGGGCCTGATTAATGATGTATCTGATTCGATGAAATTTTCAACTTTTGACAATTTGTAAAAACATTGGAATTTTTATTATACAAAAGTAATACTGAGGAGTGCACGAAAAAAAAGTGAACTGAATCATTTGTGTACACAAGTGCCGAAATTGTGCGTTTCGCAAAAATTGTCGGTTTCTTATAACCTTTACCTTTTTTAATGTAAAAAGTTTTAACGTGAAACAAAATTGCACATAGAAAAAACCAAAATGTCGAACCCCCTTGCACCCTTCATTGAAGCAGGATGATTTAGAATCTTTTGTGGTGATGAACATCGAAGAGGATAAATTGAATTGAGTAGTTAACGAAAAAAGTGATGATTTTATTTGGTTTGTCGAACGAGACCATGTTGAAACTATTTTGGGTTTAACGTCATTTTGTATTTATAAATATTTGTTTCAATTAGAAAGCATGTGCAAGAGCCCTTGAGGTGTTTCTATTCAAAACGTATTATTGTCATTTTTTGACAAAAATGAGTTACATATCGATTCTTACTGGAAATTTGTTGAGAAATCGATTGGCGGTGTTATTTGTTTTCTAGACGTATTATTTCCATTTTTATAACAAAACGTTTCATTTCCTGTGTACAAAGTATAGGGAATACACTTATTTTTTCCCAAAAGGTTGTATTTCCTAAATTTGTACCCCCGCTTTTGCTTCAAAATTGCTGTACAAATTGTATAGGAGGCCTACTTGCTGTATGCAAAACGCATGATTTCCATTTATTTAGAGAAAAAAAAAATTGAAATTTGCTTAATTTATATTAAAAAAAAAAATAATGAAACTAATAATTTTCGTTTGTCAGCGTTATAATTTTGAAATAGCTGATGTATGGATTTATTTGAAAAACATGATTGTTTGTTACCAACACCGGATTGTACAGTTTTACCTAAACGTCAACTGGACCACTACGTCTGTGATAATAATATAGGTATATACAATACGTTTTAACACGGAATTATTCTGTGATTGTATAATTGATAAGAGCACTAACTAGTACCAGGCCCCGGACAATGATAACATTTAACACGGGGAAGATATCGCACAAAAACGCGGCAGCCATTTTCTTAAAGCTACACCACTGATATTAAGTAGGTCTTTTCATTGCCCCTTTTGATTTTATCTATTCTGTGCTGATTCAAGGTAGCTGTTAGTTAAACGGAAAGTATTTCATATTAAATGTATAAACAATATTCATGATTTAATACAATTATTTAATTCATACGTTTTTATGTTTCCAAACTTAGTTGTTTTAATTTTTTTGTGCCCCTGAACATGGGATATTTTCTATACTGCTGAACCGATTTGTAAATGTAGCAAGTCTATAGATCAGTAATTGTACTTAAAAGGTACTTTAATAGGGAAAAAATTAAAAAAAGTACATCCTTTCCCATTTAAAATAAAATAAATAAGTAAAACGCCTAATAACTTTACATATTTTTTTTCCTCGCATGCTATATACTCAAGCTATTATACATATATTGTCAACAAAAAAACTTATTGTAAATATCGTACAGATTGTTTTGCTAATAAAAGAGAAAAAAAAAACTAAAAATTACAGCGCTAAAACTTCTTTTAAATAATCCATTTCCAAATTTGTATGGAATATTTTTTAGGTAAATTATTATCGATATATGGCGTTGATAAACGATTTATATCTCAAACCCTTTTCTCTAGAATGGGTAAAAGCTTTTCCGTTATTTAAGGTCATTTTTCAAGCATAGTGTAATAATAAAAATAAGTGGGAAATATAAGGAGGATGGAAATATAATATTCGTCATGTGAGATACATGTGCATATTATTTACTTATTAAATATTGTTGATAAACATTGTTTATAAATATATATATATTACAAAGTCCATCAGTGTCGGTCTATTTTGCTGAACTGCTAAACTGTACACTGGGTTGCCTATATTGAAGGGTATATATGTTACGTTCATCTTAGAGAAAAGAGGTCGGTGCAAGTAAAAAATATTATCTAATATTCGTTAGTTATGTCCATATTCGCAAATAGTCTTAAATCCGAATTGAATAGTTATATAACAAAATAAATTAAATTTTTGATAAAATATCGTGGAAAAATTACATAGGTCCGATGATTTTAATTTCTACCGTGTCTGTAATATGTACATGTGGTCTTTTAATTAAATATTTGTTTTATGACTATAATATGTGCGCGTAATAATTATAACAACTTGAAAAATATGTAAATTTATCCGGATTTATAAAATTAAGGTGTATCATGTTCTGTGTATACAAGTGTCTAAAACGTTTAAAAAATTAAAACGGCCGTATCTACTTACAAATAATAAATGAACACGTATGCAATGTATACAAATATTTGAAAAAAAAAAATGCAGAACTAAACAGCAAAACCGAATTTCTTAAAAAAAAAACATATAATAGTTTTAAAATGTACAAATTAAAGCCAGGTTATTGTCTTTTTTTTTCAATTATAAACCATTTATGTCTGGTTTAATTACTGTGTTAAAGGGAAAAATGTGTTTCGAAAACATGTTTTCTTATATTGGTGTAAAAAATAAGAAAGAAACAAAAAAATGTCGTTTCTCAGTTTTGGGGGTAAAGTAGTTACCGCCTACCCTAAATGTAATATAACTTATAATAGACATTTTTAGTAAGTAGTGAAGTTTTTCTTTTGGCCCTTAAACGTACCTTTTGTGTTCGATTTTTGACTTAAAATTCATAAAAAAAAAATGTAAGCTCTAAGCAAATATATACTTTTGATTAATATTAGTTTTCATTATACTCATAAATTATTATAGACAGTTATATTGACTACAAAAGAAATATTAGTATGTATTTTATTTGCACTGTCAGTCTTAAAACCAATATCAATTGTAGATTTAACCGTTGACTTTGGCCCTATATAAGTCTCGAAAACACTGCAAATTTTAGAACAGTTTTTTTATAACAGTTAATATGATGAATATTAAAATTATTCTTTTGCTTAGTTTGGTAGCGTACGCCACGTAAGTATTTTTTCTAATTTTTACTTTTTCAAAAGCTTTGGAAATATTTGATTAACTCTAGAGGTTTCATGTATTCATTTTTAATTTAAATATAAACGTTGGCCTTTCAGGTGTGGTGGTGGTTCTGGATCTCCCGAAAAAGGTAAATTCAAATAAGATAACTATAAAACATAAGATTTGGTATAAGAAAAATAACTTAATGAAGTCGGACTATAGTGGGGTCGACCGTCGAAGCATATTGGTGACGTTAGAATAATAGGGTTTTTTAGTAATTCATATGACTACTGAATTTGTAAATAATCTTTGATGGGCAATTATAGATGTTAAAAACTATTAAGTATAAATAAAAACCATATTTTACACAGTAAAGCATATTTTAACTATTGGGCATATACGATTATTTTTGGTGATAAATAATTAAATTGAAAATTAAAAAAATAAATTGTTGCATAAATAAATAATATAAATAATAAACCATACAATAATTATAAAAATAACTATTTTTCATAATTAATTAAATTTAGTCATAACCAACTTAAATATTGCCCACGGTTAACTTTATCAATCATGATTAATATTTTTAATCATTGTTATAATTTTTCTTTGTAATAATCGATTGATTAGGATATATTAATTTGTATTAACCAAGTAGTTTTACAGAAAACAAAAACATAAAAATTTCTTATTTTAAAATCTGTTTTCTCTGTTTATTCTTTAAAACAAATTCAACGCAGTTTGTTAGCTATAATCCTATTATTCATTTGAAAAAAAAAGACAAATATTAAATAATTGATATAAACGCATAGGCTAGTTTTTTTAATAAGTTAAATGAAAACAGAAATAAATAATTATTAAATTGTACTAAAACTTTATTCGGATGTATCTATAAAAATATTAACTTTCTAATGATAACTAATTTTATTCGCACATAAAAGTTAAAATTTAAATTGCTGACTAATTTTGTTTGTTATTATTAGATTAAAAAGTTAACTTTATGTATTTACATTAAATAAAAAAATTCCAACAGCTATGCATGTCACTATTTTTTTTTTTTTGACAACAATTTATTAAAATTTTGAACCGGTCGATTGAGTACATTATTAAGTTTTAAACAAAATAACTAATAACTAGTAATTTTCGACTACATTCTAGATAACTATGGCACATCGCAGCAACCAATCGAATATAATAAAAACATTTTATACAAAGGATTAAACAATGTGCATAATAATCGGTACACCGACAGTAAGTAGAATTTTGTTATTTTTCCATTATTATTATTCATTCTCAATCATAATTCATAACAATTTGGCATAGTTTACCCGAGTTTTTCTCATCCGAACTATTTATTATCCGAATATAATATCTATTTATGGGCTTATCATTTACCCATCAGTCCTTTCTAAAAACCATTTTCGTTGCTACATTTATTTCTTCATTATCTCATCTCTCTTTGTGTAATCCTAACAAACTATTTCCTCGATTATACATTAAAAACGGTCCATAATTGAACACTAAAAAAATACTATTGTACCTACTAGTATACCGTTAGAAAGTAAAACAAATCGAACAAGACAATATATATGGATGGATAACTAATTATTGATGAATTTTAATTATTTAAGTTATTACACTTTTAAATTATACTCGGTTGATTTGTCGTCAGGTCCAAATATATGTATATATGAAGAAGGAGTGATCATCGACGGTAAAAAAATTCCAATGGATATTGGAAATAAAAATGTTCGTCCAATTGTAACATATCATAAAAATGATGGATTTACGGTCAATGGAATAAAAGTTCCAGCAGATGCAGACGGAAACCCTTTAAATCCACAGAATGAAATTGGTGTCACCGACTCTAAAGGGAAAAAAATTGATAAAGACGATAATCAAGGAGTAAGCCAAGGCCCAACAAAAGGTAAAAAAAAATTGTACTACCCTAAGGTCAAAACAAATAAAACATTGGAATAGTTAAAATTATCTATTAATATTCTTCCAAATCACAGCTAACCGTATACTTAAAAAGTGATAAAATTAAATTTGTCAGTATGTCTATAAAACATACAACATTTAATATACGGTGGGTACAAGTGAAACACTTGAAAGGATGTTTTTGTTTATTTAATCAGACCATGTTTTTTTATGAAAAAAAAAAGTTAAATAAATAATATAAATCTTATTGGACTAATTAAAAGTACTATAACGAAATATTTAAACATAATTTATTATCTGTCCTTCTAATACAATTTGGTGTAACGTTTCATTGATACAGTTTTTGTCATTTTATCTAGATACAACAGGAACTACTGGATCAACCAGTACAGGCACTGTTGGATATGTATTTAGAAAAGAAGATTTTGGTATTGCATCCAATGAAGGTGATTAAGCACAACTTTTTTTTTTTTGTTGAAGCAATAAATTGTTGACCAGTAAAAAGTGTCCAGTAATACTTGTATGATGTGAATTTAAATTCAATAGGAAGGTTGATACGGTCAAGTGTTATTTTCTTTAAAAAAAGATAAAAAAAAAAAAAGATTCCATCTCTGGTAGAGAAATGCGTTTTTAATATTTTTATGTAATTAAATCTTCTCTTGACAATCGTTTGAATAATGACATTTAAATGTATATGTAATTTTAGCAGCTTACATTTCGAATTGGATAAATTAATCATACCAGAATGAAACTGCTAAACAAAATTACATAAATTAATTTTAAATTTTTTGTTCTAGAAAATTATGTAATAAGTGGATGTAATCTGTTTAATGTAAACAGCGGCAATATTAACACAAACAATGAATACTGTGACAATACTAACGTAGACAATGAACACTGTGGCAATACTAACGTAGACAATGAATACTGTAGCGATAATAGCGATAAAAAAGAAGATACTGAATCTGATACTGGATCTGATTATGATCCCAACCCCTGTAAACAACAATGAGAAATAAAAATTTTAATTATCTAATTTCAAATTGTCTGTATTCAAAAATTGTTAAATGATTATACTCTAATAAAAAACCATGAAAATAAAAGAATATGTAAACTACCGTATCCGATAGTACTATATTTTAGTTTTTCAAAACAATTTGAAACCTCACACTAACACTTCATAATATATTTTTATTAATAAATAGAAAACAACACAATTCAATATTTTTTCATCATTACTAAAAATACTGAATATGCGAATAAAGTCGAATCAAATAGTGTACTCGTATCATATTAATCGGATATTCATAATACGATATAATAACAATATGTTGTATAACATTTTTACTATTCAATCAAAAGGAGAATCAAATTTTACCAAGACCCGGTTGATTTTTAGTTTTCTTATTTTACTACATGTAACTATTTTGAATGTCAATTGTATAGAATTTTTTTTTTAAGTAATAATTTCGCACATTGGCGCGTGTGTTTCAACTGTGACACCGAGTTCAAAGGTAAACAAGAACTGAAAAATATGATTTTTTTTTTTACTTAAGTATTGCTTAACCGCAAAACACTGGTGTGATTTGATGTGCGTTTCCATTTCAATTTTTCACATAAAAAGCAAAGTTTATAGCAATCGTCTTTATCATTTTTTCTTACACGTTAAAAAGACTGTAAACGTTATTTAAAATACCTTCCCATATTGAGTTTGCGTTATAATAATGTACACCCTAACGTCGACAAATACAGGGTGTATAACATTTCATGGCCAACCTGACTTATTGACGATTTTCTAAAATTATAAAAAAAAACGTCTTATGTACATCATTTTTGGTTTTTATAGTACAATGATAATTTAAAGTCATTGTAATTTTTCCCCTCTTTGGTAAAATAGAGGACGATTTCCGTTCCACTGTTATATGTGCCTTATACATTTTGACTGAGAAATAAAAACGTTTAAACAACTTTGAAATGTTTACCTCTATACATAATCAGAGTTGTGCATCATTCGAATAAAACGTTATCTAAATAATCATCTATAGATAACCCATCCTTTCAAACAAATGTTATTCGAATGATTTTTAAAAGTATTTATTTAAATAGTTTGCACGTTTTTCAAGTAATTATATTCGGTAATATTATTTTTGTATAGATCTCATTCAAGTAACCAATTATTTATAAATTTACCGTCGTTATAACAATCCATAGTTAATCACTAATTAAAATGTTTAAAAATAAACTAAATAATTAACACAATACACCTGTCTGAAAAAAAACTAAAATAATATGTATCCACTTTTTGGAAAAGAAAATAAAGTCGACCACATAAGTATTGCCCGACGGTACTCACAAGTCCAACTGATTTAAAACCATTTATTTATATGAAATCGACATCAAAATATGTTACAAATAATTGATATAAGTTCCGCGCGAACAGAAATAAAAACCCAACTAATAACAATAAACGTCCATTATCATCTTCCTCCTCCCCACCGCAATCGCCACTTACTAACAACATAAAGAAATCAAAGTTATTTGTAACTTCAAACCGCTATTCTGTTCTCTCTACTGAAGAACCCGACGTTGACGATAACATATTTCATGATACTAATCCGGAGCAGCCGGATACCAACAATAATGCACCGAAAAGCATGCTACCTCCACCCATTTTTATCAAAGGCGTTCTTGACTTCATAGGCTTGCGAAAAAGTTTTTTGGAGATCATTGGCCCAGACACTTTTTCTTGTAAATCAACAACGAATCAACTCGAAATACAGACAGATACCCCAGATAATTATAGGAAAATAATACATTTCCTAAAAGAAATTGACGCCCAATATCACACTTATCAGTTAATATCAGACAAATCTTTAAGAGTTGTTATTAGAAATTTACATCCATCCACCCCAGAAACAGATATTGCCTCAGCACTAGAAGAAATAGGCCACACTGTCAAAAATGTCACCAACATCAAACATCAGCTTACAAAAACACCGTTGCCCCTCTTTTTTGTGGATATTGACCCTAAAGGTAGTGACAGTAACATATTTGATATTTCCTTCCTTCTACATACAAAGGTTAAAGTTGAGGAACCCTATAAGAGACGACAGATACCACAATGTCAGAACTGTCAAGCCTATGGCCACAACCGTTCCTACTGTGCACACCAACCAAAATGTGTCAAATGTGGGGCCAACCACCCCTCCCCCTCTTGTAAAAAATCACCAGACCTACCAGCTAAGTGTGCCCTCTGTGAAGGACCACATCCAGCTAACTATAAAGGATGTCAAATATACAAGCAACTAAGCCGCAAACATAACACTTCAAGCAAAAAACCTCAACAACCACCGCCACTCAACCCAAACTCCAACCCAGAACACCGCCATCTACAATCCACCACCGAAAACTCGCAAAAACCACGTTCGTATGCAAATGTAACTGGGAGTAACCAACCCAACCTAAATCCTACCCCAACAAACAACAACGAAATATCACTCCTCAAATTTCTTGATGAGTTTAAGTCAATTATTAATCCTCTAATATCCCTCCTCACTACAGTTCTTTCAACCCTCGTTAAGCCCAATAATGTCAACTAACCTTACCACTTCAAAATCGCTTCTCATCCTAACTTGGAATTCCAACGGCCTAATAAAACACAAAAACGAACTACTAGCTACACTACAAAACAATAGAATTGACATCGCACTTATCTCAGAAACCCATTTTACAAATTCCTCACATTTCAATCTACCTGGCTTTCAAGTCTTTAATACTAACCACCCGGATGGCACAGCACATGCCGGAGCCGCCATCATAGTTAGGTCCTCACTAGTGTTCTATCCCCTACCACAATATCAAACAGATCATATACAAGCTTCTGGTATATCCCTTACACTAAACAATATCCCCATACATATCTACGCAGTATACTGTCCCCCTCGACATACCATCACTTTAAGTCAATTTAATAACTTTTTCCTTACACTTGGTCAAAAATTCATCATAGGAGGTGACATTAACGCAAAGAACACACATTGGGGCTGTCGTGCGAATAACCCTCGTGGAAACACTCTTAAATTCTTAACCCAATCACAAAACTATAAAATTCATTCTCCTCCCTCTCCAACCTACTGGCCTACTTCACCCAGAAAAAAACCAGATATTCTCGACTTTTTCATATCTAAAATCCCAACAGTCTACATACCTTGACATCCAACCTAAATGACCTGTGCTCTGATCACTCATCTGTCCTTTTAACAATTGATACTGCTCCCTTAAATAAACTAAAACAACCTAGTCTTATTCAAGGCCGGATGGACTGGGATAAATTCAGGTTAACGCTACAAAATCAAACCAATCTTAAACTTAGCCTAAAATCTCCTGATGAGATAGATGAAGCTGTACATCTCCTCACCAAATCAATTCAAGAAACAGCTTGGTCATGTTCCACTCCTTACCCTCCTACAATACACACTGAAAATCTTCCTTTACATATAAGAGTCCTTATCTCTGAAAAAAGAAGAGCCCGCGCTACCTGGCAAAGAACTAAATACCCCTCTGATAAACGGAAATTTAACAATCTATCTAATAAACTTAAAAGGATTCTAGCCTCAGTTAGATCTAAAAACTTCACCAGACATCTTATTTCCTTATCATTCAATGATAACTCACTCTGGCAAAATACAAGGAAAATCCTTCGATCCAAACCATTTGTACCTCCACTGAAAAAAGCCGACGGTACTTGGGCCATCAGTGATCTAGAAAAAGCCAACCTATATCGCCACCACTTAACTGCTACCTTCCAACCACACTATAATGTTATATGTCCAAACCAAATTGAAAAAGTAGGCAGTTTCCTCTCCTGCTCTTTACCCATGACTTTACCTCCTAAACACATTAGGCCAAGTGAAGTTAAACACGCAATTCAAAAATCTGCTAAACGAAAAACCCCAGGCTATGAACTAATTGCTGCAGAAGTGGCAACACAACTACCAAAAAAAACTTTACTCCTACTAACTTACATTTATAACTCTATAATCAGACTCTCCTACTTTCCAATTCTATGGAAATTTTCAGTGATCATCATGGTTCTCAAGCCAGGAAAACCCCCGGACTCCCCGGAATCATATAGACCCATCAGTCTTCTTCCCTTATTTTCCAAGATTTTTGAAAAACTTTTTTTAAAACGTACCCTCTCTGCCATTGAAATCAACCTCCCTAACACCCAATTTGGTTTTCGACACAATCACTCAACTATACACCAAGTGCACCGCCTTGTTGACAAAATATCATACACACTAGAAAAAAAGCTAGTATGCACGGGTGCATTCCTAGACATGGCCCAGGCCTTCGACAAAGTGTGGCATGAAGGCCTCCTCTTTAAGCTAAAATCCTTTCTTCCTCCATATTTTTATCTATTATTTAAATCCTACTTAGAAAATAGACATTTCGCCGTACGTTCAGGTTCCTCCTTGCCTGAAATGTCTTCAATTCGTGCTGGTGTGCCTCAAGGTGCTGTCGCAGCCCCTTTATTATTTAATCTTTTTACCTCAGATCAGCCCACAACACCTTACACCACTACCGGTGACTTTGCCGACGATAAAGCTCTTCTAGCCCTCCACGCCGATCCTGTAACGGCGTCAAACTTCATCCAAAATCACCTAAATCTATTATCAACATGGTATAAAGATTGGGGGATAAAAATCAACGAGACTAAATCCATCCACTGCACATTCACATTAAAACAAACAGACTGCCCTCATATTTATCTTAATAACATACCCCTTCCAACCGCTCAAAATGTTCGATACCTGGGTTTACACCTAGACCGGCGTCTTACTTGGGCAACTCATATCCACGCCAAGCGTCTCGTCTTAAACAACCGCCTCCGTCAATTACGCTTCCTTCTAACAACAAAACACCACAACCTCCAAAACAAACTTTTAATTTACAAACTACTCCTCAAACCCATTTGGACCTATGGCATCCAGCTATGGGGAGCTGCCAAACCATCCAATATCTATAAAATACAAACATTTCAAAATAAATGTCTCCGTCTATTAACAAAAGCCCCATTTTACGTCTCCAATGATACCCTCCACAAAGATCTCTCCATCCCAACAGTCCTTAACTCTGCCAAAACCTTCTA